AGGAGGAAAGGTTGGGACATGACTCTAAACTAACGACACTTTTTAACAACAAATTATCATCTACACAGCTTGTAAGTCTATCAAAGAATTTGAGAAACACTTCTGATTTGTCGAGAACATTGTCAGTCATTCGAGAACATATAATTGAGCCGGAAAACCACGTATCAACATTTATAAATGATTTCGCCATTTTACAAGCTCCCGGGCACTACATACATGGACCAAAAACTATAGTGCATGTTCTGCAAAAGTTTAACGAGGAACTTATATATTCTATTTTTGACAAAAAATTTAATGAATTATGTTTTGATGATATGATAGATAGTAATGATGTTGGTATTCTTTACAATGTTGGGGCTAATTTAAGTAAAACGATTGTGGATGGGATATTATTTTCAAAGGATATTACACCATGCCATGTGATGTCAACATATTCAAAAGAATGGTCTGCAGTTATAGCACTGCAACAGGTATGTGATCGTGAAGCTGAGACACTGACTGGAGTTTCTGAAAACATTTCAATTGAATCAGAAATTTTATATCTTGCTATGACACGAGCACGAGTTAAGTGCACAGTAATAATGTATCCTGCAAAAGGTACTATACTTGATGAATCTTATCGCATATGTAGTCTACTTGATAAGCTCAAAGACTCTGCTGAAGTAAAATATCACTAACACTTCAAACTTTAAAATACAATTTATTAACTGAACCGGATTAATTAATTAACTAGGGATTTAAATATATTGTGAATAAACATCGGTATAATTTGAAAAGTATAAGGCCTGATGTTGTACTATTTTATCTTCGCTTGTAGTTGATGATATGATTGAGCCAGGACACAGACACAGTTGCAGTGACTTTGTCAGTTTAACAGAATATTTATCATATATATGTAAAAATTGGATTATAACTGTTTTATTAAGTTATTATAACGTGTAACAACTGCTTTATAATTATCACTTTACAACATCTAAAATTAAATATCCGTCTAAATCCGGTTTCAGCCCTGGTCCGGTTTAAAAGCTGCTGGAAATCAACCGGAAATTGCAAACCGTCCAGAGATAATACACGAACACTGCAATACCATGATATAAGAAAAGTAGTTCTGTTATTGTTCTGGACATCGTTGTTAAGTACGCCGAAAAACCGATCGAAAATACGCCGTTTGTCAAAATTCTAAGAAATACGTGGAATACGGCCCATTTTGCGGTTTCAAAAAAAATTTGTTTGATGTTAAATTTTGTCCAAATACGCACTTATTTCTTGCGATAAACGTATCCGCAAAGTACGCAAGTACTTAGATTGATTGATTGATTGAGGAGCACTACCCGAAGGCATTACTCGGCACTAACGCCTTAAAATCTTTAATTACAATCAAATATAAATATATGCACACAATGTATAAAGTATTAATAATGTATGAAATATGATTATGCTATTAGCAAATTTAAATAGTAGTATTAAGAATTTTAAATAACTCTTATCTCTTGACATAAATTTAGAACAGCGACACAGGGTCTGAAGAATGCGCGGTGATATTTTTATCTTTTAAAAGTTGTAAATGACAGTGAAATTGCGCGGTGTCGATAGCATTGTAAAAAATGCTCGAAGATAGTCATATTTTGTTATGAGGTTAAAGTTTTGTTGCTCGTTATTATGATCAACGTATGTTGTACCAAATTATTTAAATTTCTAAAAGTACGAAATTTGAGTTGTCCCAGTCCTTGTCATCCGGTTTATGTGCTTGTGCAGTAAGCACATGCTTGTTGACTGTAGACTTGAATGAATTTAGGAATTTGTCTTGTAGGCAAGTGGTGACATATTTTATGTCCTTGTTAATAATGTTGACTGTTTGGTTATATAACTTAGGCCCAATGTAAGAAATGCTCTTGTCTGAATTACATAAACGGTTAAATGGTACTGCAAAGAACTCAGGTTCTCTTCTAGGTGCGTTTAAGTTTGAAACAGTGAACATTCTTATAATATTTGGTGGTGCAGTGTTAGAATAAACTTTGTGCATTAAGCATAATATACATTTAGCTATCACGTTCGGTAAAGCTAATACTTCTAGTTTATTGAAAATTTCCTTTGTGTGTGAAGGTGTGCTATTCAGATCTTTGTCATAAAAATAGCGGTGGTATTGGTTATCTGCAGCGCGAATGCCCTTTTTCTGGGCCGAGAAGACTCTTTTAACGGAGTTTAGCGATCTTGTTCCCCAAACTGTGCAGCAGTAGTACAAGTGAGACTGAACAAAGCTGTTGTATATCAACTTGAGTGCTTTGTTAGGTACTGAGCCTTTGAGTTTGTAGAGAATACCCGCATTTCTAGATACTTTAGTGGCTAAATGTCTAATGTGGTGGGCCCAATTTAGCTTAGTATCAATGATCACGCCAAGAAACTTTTCGTGATAACTTTGCTTTAGTCGCTCACCTCCCATGTTAATTGACGATGTCAATTCATGGCAGCTCGGCGCGGCACAGTAGCGCATCTCGCCGATCTAGCCAGGAATTGAGGAATTCCAGCAAGATACGCGCCAAAAGACGCGCAGTTGCGGAGTGATGTCAACGATTACTTTACACACTGATATCATTATAATTTGGCGTGACACACGTGTAATAGTAGAAATTACTAAGCAAGAAGTATACTTTTACAGGATTGACTTCGTGCAGTGATGTCAATGATTTCTTTGAGTTTGAGCACACCGATGTCATTATAATTTGGCGTAACCTGTGATATATATATAATAGTCTGAAAAGGAAAAAAACATGGAGATTGTAGAAATTACCTAATTACTAGACAAGGAGTATACATTTACAGGATTGACTTCGTGCAATCTTTCAAGACGGTAATCACATTCAACCGAAAGAACGCGAAATAGATTCGTTCTGACCTATGATATACTTTTTCCTCATCAAGGGTGTACACATGAGACAGCGGGACTATTATTAACCCTATTAACGGGACCATTATTAACCTTGCGCAAGTTTGTACAATACCTTATAATAATAACAAATAATTATATTCTCATCTCGGTAACTTTTTAAACGTTCATGAAGGCAGTTTTCGACAGAATGGCAACTTGTAATCAGTGTTCATTGTCATGTTAAAGGTTTCCTTTATACAAGTGGTAGCTTAGGCCAACTTAATTATACTGTGTCATAACAGAGTATTTAATATTATTATGCGGCAAGTATCAGTATTTATGCGGCAATGCAAGGAATAAAAGCAAAAGAATCACAATGTTAATTGTTCACTCTCCGACCTTCCGCACCCTGACAGAACAGATTGTCCTTGCATGGTTTTACCATTACAACATGATGAATTAGGTAAAACTATAGCCGAGCACTCCCCAGCAAAAACGTGACCAATGCAATTCAATGTAATTCTACCATATCTATCAATCGTGTTAATGAACACAAAAGCCGGAGGTACACCGGTAAATATAATCAAGTGGAAAAAGGTGGTAGACATATCACAAAATCTTTGTTAACTTTCATATTCTAATAATTGGGAACAATTTGATTACATACTTTAAAGAGAACAGTACATGATCAATGATGGAGACATTCGTAAACTATTGACAAATAGATTTACGAGAGTGCTATGGCCAGTACCAAATACATACATACATGTTACATGGCGAGATCTCCATCCAAAAGGATTAGTCTGCGTCATCTGCGTCATTACTTTGTATTATACAACTTCGGCGGGTAATATTTCTCCATCCTTTTCGATCTGCAGCCAATCTTCTCATACAATCAATCGTGAGTCCATTACGATCCAATCTCTGCTCAGCATCTTCAATAAATACATCATTTAAGCTCTTCCTAGGCCTGCCTCTTGATCGTTTCCCATGCTTGGGTTTCCATTCAAGTAGATAGTTAGGTAACCGATCTTCAGGCATTCTACTGACATGTCCAAACCAACGTAGCCGTTTTGTTGCTATTATGTCAGTAAGAGCAGTTATTGAAGCCCTTCTTAAAACATCTTCATTTCTTACTCGATGGAACCACCTCACTCTCAGGATTCTGCGTAAGCAGTACTGATGGAAAGACTCTAATCTTCTTGTCTGCACTTGAGTCGTGTTCCATATCTCACTTCCATAGGTCAGAATGGTAAGAACAGCTGCGATGTAGATTCGCACTTTGTTGTTAATGCTTATGTTCTTATTCTTCCAAATGTTATTGAGTTGGTTAAAAGCTCCGGTTGCTTTTCCAATCCTGACACTTATTTCTTTATCGATCTTGCCATCCGATGTAATTTTGGCACCCAAATAAGTGAATTGAGTGACCTGCTTTGCAGAGTTTCCATCGACAGTAATATCTATGGTCCTATTCTCTGGGAGTGGGTGCTGCGACGTATCTTTCCCAATTACCATGATCTCTGTTTTCTTTGCGTTCATCTTTAAACCCCCAAGCCCACAGTATTTCGCAATATTGTCCGTTGTTTCTTGCAGTCCCTCGACAGTGTCATCCATGCCTGCTATGTCATCAGCATAGTCCAAATCAATGACACATTTTTCCGGTTGTCTGGAACTTTGTCTGTACTGAAGAGTAAAACCACGCGATATATTTTTAAACTTCTCGGCAAGTTCTAATCCCCAGTTAAGTACAAGGTTGAAAATGGGAGGCCCTTGCACATCACCTTGTCCAGTCCCCGAATCGACATCAAACCATCTTGTCAATTCCCCATTGACACGAACTGCACTTTCAGTTGCTCTAAAGAACGCTTTGAAAACATTGATGTATTTTGTTGGAAGACCATAATGTTCAAAAGCTTTCCAAATAAAGTCACGATTGATTGAATCAAAAGCAGCTTTAAAATCAATAAAGTTTATATACAAAGGGACGTTGAATTCTATACAATTGTGTATTATACAATGAAGGGAGTATAGCTGATCTATACAAGAACGGTTTCTCCTGAAACCACACTGATTTTCTCTAAGTAACTTTTCAAGCCCATTACTTAGTCTTTTTAACAACACGATTTGAAATAACTTCGATACGGTGGAGCGTAGAGTTATCCCTCTGTTGTTGTTGCAATATGTGAGGTCCCCTTTCTTTGGGATGATGGTGATGATTCCTTTCCTCCAATCACTAGGAATATCCTCACTTTTCCATACAGTTTCAAACAAATCTTTTAACCAAGGCAGAAGTCCAGGAGAACCGTACTTTAACTGCTCATTTGAAATTTCATCAATTCCAGCACTTTTGTAGTTCTTCAACTTCTTGATAGCTTCCTCAATTTCAAACAAGGACGGTGGCTCATCATCATTACTAAGATATTCAAAAGAAAGTACCTTTTCGTCCTCATCCAATAGAGAGAAATCCACCGCATCTGCTGCTGGCGTCAAGAGTTCTTCAAAATATTCGGCCCAGCGATGTGACTGAGCTTCGGGATCTGATATAAGTGTCCCATTCTTATCCCGCACTGCCGCAGATCTGTTTACTCTCTTGTTTGTAAGGGATTTTATTTTCTGCCAAACATCTCTTTGTTGACCCTGCTTGGCAGCCTCTTCCAATTCCTCAGCTACTCTAACAGCCCAGGCATTATCATCTCTTTTACAGTTCTGCCTAACAAGACCGTTAATCTGCGAGTACTTAGCACGATTCTCAGCAGTACTAGGTTTCTTTTTAATCTCACCTCGTTCTTTTAGGAGATTCTTAGTATCCTTTGAGAGGTGTTCTGTTCTCTTTTTCCGGCCCCTTTCACCCAGAACTTCAAACGAGACATCAGTTATAATGTCTCTCAATTTCTTCCATTGTTCTTCTAAAGGAGAGTTTCCAAGCTCCTGATCGTTGGTATAGTATTTTTCAGCTATTTTGTTACTATATTCCTGGCTCTTAGATCTATCACGCAAGTTCTCTAAAGCAGGCTGTCTTACACGCTTCTTTCTTTTCTGTGGACACTTAAGCTTAATAGATACATATCCTCTTACCAGATAGTGAGTAGTATTTATATCTGCTCCTCTCATGCTCCTGACATCAAGCAATGAATGGCTCCATCTCGTTGAAATACAAATATGGTCAATTTGAGTGACGGTGTTACCATTTGGGGATCTCCATGTTGTCTTGTGGATATCCTTGTGTTCAAAAAGTGTGCCTCCGATCGTCAGCTGGTGCATAGTACAGAAATCTAGCATCCGTTTTCCGTTATCATTGGATTCTGTGTGATATGAGTGTTTTCCTATAACACCAGGGTGAGCATCAGTGTCCCTTACCAAATACACAAATCACTAATCATGATTCCTAGCTTTGAATTTACCCGGGAACCCCGGGCTTTGTGTTCTCAAACAGTCGTTATATTAATATGAGACTTAAGTTAATTTTAATAATATTCAATTGATACGTGTATGAAAACCTAAAACGGGGTCCCCAGGTAATAAGACTCGATCGATTAGATATTTCAACGATTTCGATACGAGAGGTATTTATTATACCTCATGCTACTGCTAGCTATGCATTTTCGTATAATACAGCTCAGAATGACATTAACTGCGGAGCACCGTACTAAGTTTCTACAACAAGGTCTATACTAAACATGCGAAGATGATTAATCACTCAACACTCAACACATAACATACTTAAACACGTATACTTCAAGTAGTCCTTAGTGACTATTTAGAATCCAAACCCAAACTAGAGTGTAGAGCGTATGTTTAAAACCCTAATCCGTACGAGAAATAAGACCAACATCCTTATTTGGTCATACCACCTGGTCATTATAAAGAGGTTCATAAAACCAAAACATATCCAAATAATTTTTGATCAATTAGGCTTAATTGACGTTCATAAGGCTCAATAACAACCAAACAATTTGTCAAGTCTCAAGAAGAGCCATCTTCATAATGTAGATGGCATGGTGGACGGTGGTCAGCTCCAGGTCTTTGTATCTGGAAGACGTATCTCTATGCTTTCTCCATGTATTAGTTAAGCAAGCTATAGGAATTCCTTGTAATCTCCTGGGCTGGTTGTTGAGTTGGTGGATGTGATTAATTAAGGATAGAAGGTCTCCTATTATATATATAATACACGTCGTTCCTGTAGCAAGTAGGGATATCGGGAAAGACGATGTTCTGCAGATTGAGATCTTCCCAGGAGGTCTTCGTGATCTTGAAAAGGGTTATTTCGAGTGATGTTGTGTCACCGAACAGTTGCTTGGAGACAGATCCTCTGACAAGCTCCGCCTCCAGGACGTGATGTCTGCAGGCCATCCAGAGAATCTGTTGATTGAGGAGCTGCTGAAGAATAGTACCTGCTTTTTTGTGAACTCCAGTATTGAATGTCTTATCAAATCCAACGGCTATTATTTTATCTGCTAGGCTACGGTCGTCGAGCATCTTCTTCACTTTGTCTGCTTCGTCCTAGTCCCTGTAGAGTCACTCGTCTTACAGATTGCGAGTATCTTGTTCTCCTCATCTTGTTCTAGGACCACAGCCAGTCTGTTTACTTTGCTAAATCCTCCGAGGTCTGCTAGGAGTTTTCCGTCGAAATTTATCTGTCTGACATTGGACGTAAAGTCTCTTTTGATATTTGCTGCTTGCTTTGATCGGACTGAGGCTCTGTGACGACTTGCAGTGGACTCTGAGAGAGATAACAGCTTCATATCCCCGTGTATTTACCGAGCAGTGAGATGCAGTGTCTCCTTGAACTGTCACTGAGGGAAAGAAAATAAGATACTACGTGTGAAAATGAGATAATGTTCAACTTCTATCATGAAATTACCAAGGAGATGACAGTAAATTATTCACAAATCTGATTTATTTTTAACTAACGATGAACATGCAAGAAGGCTTTTAGTTTTAATAACCAGGGTTTAAGCCAGGCAGGATAGTTAAATAGTATATACCTGATTTTGAGAGAAACAACCAGACTGCAGCCAAGACTGATAGCAAGACGAATGAACTCCGCAAATTTCTGGTCAAAAATAGACCGTCTTAGTTTATTGTAGATCCCCTGCTGAGAAATAAGTGTGCGTTCAGAATCTATATAAAACCCATTTATTACGGCTTCTAGCATAGCCGTTCTGTTTAGCGTAAAAATCGATTGGGATTTTAATAGCTAAGTCTAATAATATCCCAGTTACGTTGGATGAGTTGCATGTATAAAAATTGTTCAAAAAGTGATTGATTACGTAATATAAAGTGATTACGTGTACGTAATATGCAAACAAAATACAAATTCATGAGATAAGTGCGTGGCTGTATTGACGTTGATTGATCCATGTTACTTGTTATATGCAATGTGGTATCTTGAAAATTCCTAACACGTTCAAGTTGTAATATAAACTAGTGTCCTAAACAGTCAACATTCTTCTTAAATTTTTGACGGAAATGACCAGTAAGTAAAGAAAAAATCAAATATTTTAACCGGAACATCAAAACTATCGTCTTCAACCGGCGAGGTTTTCTTTTTCATTAAAACTAGTAACTTAGTAGGGTTACCAGTTTTGATGAAACTAATTTGCCAAGTTCACTTTAAGTTACCATTTTCGGCACTATCCGTCGCGGAGTAGAGTCCGCGGCGGAGCCGCCGGACTCCGAGCGGACTCCAGCGGAGCCGCCGGACTCCGAGCGGACTCCGGCGGTGCTCCGCCAAAATGTATTTACACTGGACTCGAGTACATTTTGGCGGACTCCGAGCGGAGCCGAGCGGACTCCGAGCGGACTTTAAAGTCCGCCGCGGACTCCGAGCGGCGGCTCGGCGGAGTGTCCGCCGCGGACTAAGCCACTAGGCGGACTCCGGTCCGCCGCGGACTCCGGCGGAGTGCTTGGCGGACTCCGCCGGACCTCTCCGCCAGACTTGAATCCGGCGGAGTCCGGCGGAGCTTGGCGGAGTCCGCCAGCTCGGCGGACTCCGCTCGGAGTCCGCCGGACTCCAACAGAGTCCACTGACTTCCGACTTCCGACCCTCGGCTAAATTTGTCACGTGACATACAACATAGCCAATAGCATTTTGCGATATTGTGGTCAGATGATAAACCTTAACCATTACCCTCACAATGTCAATAGTGTACAACTCTAGTCCTAACTTTGACCCTATAATGTATAAACGTTGACCCTAACACCTAACCCTCCACCAAACAGCCAGCAGCGAAATATCAATGTCATTGACTGGTCACGTGACCAAAACAATTTTTGTCATATTATCTCATATAGGGAAGCGTTTTTAGTTTTACCCTACACGTTGCATGTGGCGTCATTCGGCCGGATCCCAGCAAGCAAAAATACGTCGACCATCACAGGACGACGCCAGCACTCTCTACGCTCGTCGAGCTCCGATCGTCCTGTGACGAAGTAAGGACGAAGCCTGAGGTCCTCAGGTAACATCGACCACCGATTGAAAATTCAGAGATTTTTTGACATAAAGGTCAAATGTAAAACTAAAATCTTGATGTTAATTGATTGACGACGCGACGTCAATTTTTGAGCACAGCGCGAGCGCATGCGGAAAAGGACCGCGTAGCTAGTCAAGATGTTGATAAATATTTGGCTTGTGGCGCGATGTGTTGCTCTAAGTCTAACTATAGCCCTCTCGCTTGCAGTTACTGGGCCGCGCTCAGCCTGTCATTCCGCCTAATCTCTATTAACAATATTAAAGCCTGGGGTCCTCAGGTAAGCTTGCAGTAGCGCGCGACCGCCGGAGGCGGAAATGACCTGGTTAGCTAGGTAAACGCGATGTGCCTTGTAGGATGAAATCCTACTAGCTGACGCCACTCGCAGCTGTGCTGCTCGCTGTACGTCAGCGATCGAAATTTATACGCGTATCACCCGTTAAGATGTGCCACCCGACGTGCCACACAATTTTTCTCCAAAAAGGTATAACAAATTTGGTATTGTGAAAATTCTCACAGTCTCTAGAAAACAGTGCAGGTACAAAATTTTTTTAAATCCAAGCAACTTTATTTTTATCGTGCACCCCCTATAAGAAGAAACCTAGCCAGAGTGGAAGTCGGCGCCCTCATTAAATTTTTGGAGAAAATCGCTCGCGCTCGCCAAAATTTGTTGGACCAGGACGATGTCCTAGCCTGGCAGCTCATTGCGCGTCGCAACGAGCTTCGTTGTTCTTCGACGTGCGACGAGCAACGAGAAAAATTGCGTGGCGCGTTGGGTGGCACATCTTAACGGGTGATACGCGTATAAATTTCGATCGCTGACGTACTATACGTATACAGCGAACATCACAGCTGCGAGTGGCGTCAGCTAGTAGGATTTCATCCTACAATGCAAGGCACATCGCGTTCATCTAGCTAACCAGGTGCTTTCGCGCCGCTGCGGGCGCGCTTGTTCCACAAGTCATTTCCGGCGGTCGCACGCTACTGCAAGCGAGAGGGCTATACTTAGAGCAACACATCGCGCCACAAGCCAAATATTTATCAACATCTTGACTAGCTACGCGGTCCTTTTCCGCATGCGCTTGCGCTGTGCTCAAAAATTGACGTCGTCAATCAATCAACATCAAGATTTTAGTTTTGCATTTGACCTTTATGTCAAAAAATCTTTGAATTTTCAATCGGTGGTCGATGTTACCTGAGGACCTCAGGCTTCGTCCTTACTTCGTCACAGGACGATCGGAGCTCGAAGAGCGTAGAGAGTGCTGGCGTCGTCCTGTGATGGTCGACGTATTTTTGCTTGCTGGGATCCGGCCGAATGACGCCACATGCAACGTGTAGGGTAAAACTAAAAACGCTTCCCTATATGAGATAATATGACAAAAATTGTTTTGGTCACGTGACCAGTCAATGACATTGATATTTCGCTGCTGGCGGTTTGGTGGAGGGTTAGGTGTTAGGGTCAACGTTTATACATTATAGGGTCAAAGTTAGGACTAGAGTTGTACACTATTGACATTGTGAGGGTAATGGTTAAGGTTTATCACTAGCGACCTTTTCATCTGACCACAATATTGCAAAATGCTATGTTGTATGTCACGTGACAAATTTAGCCGAGGGTCGGAAGTCGGAGGTCGGAAGTCA